TCTGCTAATTACTGCCTCCACTAAGTTGAGGTTATTAGCTGTCAGATACATAATTGTACCTAACAAACAAATTTATATATACATATACATATATATTTAAATGTCAAGCATTCGACAGACCAAAATTAATCTCTCACAACAAACAATTTATTTTGCATTATTATATTAACTGGATGTTTTCACTTGTGTAAATGAGAATCTTAAAACTGCACTTGTATTCGTGCGGGTGTATTTATTACTTATGATGATGTTCTCTGCCTCGTTAACGTTGTTGCAAGACTCCCCATGTTTATGCTCTTTCCCTCTCTTTAACGATCATTGTCTCGACAGGCTGGCGTATACCACATGGCCTAACACAATTAACAATGCATTCAAGTCTACAAATGAAATATCAGGTAGGTATCATAGTGCAGTGGTTTGTATGCGCAAATAAAAGTGTATAACTAATAATATAGTTTTCCTAAGAAGATTACGTGACTCTTAGTCTGGAGATTTTGTTAGGAACCTATTAAGAGCACCTTGAGGAAATAGGAGACAGACTTTCCTTGTGGCTACATTCATTAAATGCTGTCTTAAGACAAGCATGTCTCATAAGGGTATGGTGCTAAAGAAGGTAGCAGGCAAACCAAGATTGATTTTTCCATCATACATTTATTGGCCACACCACCTGGCCACTACACACACACACCTACCTCATTGGTCTACTTTGTGAGAGTACAGTTATAGGTTATAGCTCATCTTTTTCCATGTAGAATTTGTGCCAGTCATCCTCTAGCCCAGGGTTTCCAGTTCTGGAGACTCACTGCTATGCAGAGATTCAAGGTATTCTAACTTAGAGCACACCTGAACCAACTGATAAATGGCTTCATAATTAGCTGCTGAGCTACACCAGATGTGCTGGGGGTTATGGAACCTTGACTCTGTGCAGGACACTAAGTCAAGGCCCTGTGCACACATATAGTACATTTGTATAAGTGCTTAGGGATATTTTTGACCATGTAGTTTTTACCCCTTTGTTTAAAAAAAAAAGTCCTATCCACAGGAAAACAAAAAACAGTTTGGAAATATTCACATGAGCATGCCAGCCCAGTAGGTGGTGATAGCCACCTGCCTCAATAATAACATTATTGATTAGTGGATTAGCGGATTGATTAGTAGAGCAGGTGAAATGTGGGAAAACCACCAACATGGCGAAAGAAATGACAAACACAAGGATTCATATGGACAGCCTGACAATGAGGTGGAAATATTGCTTAAGGTTACACTTATGAAGTCCGCAAGACCCAAGTCAAAATCTCAGCTCACAATAAGGTTAGTATCACTGGCGTGGTGCACTCAGGAATACAGCACATATTATATTCTAGCACCTCCACACAAGGGTGTAATAATCAAACAAATTGAAATTAAATTGCAAACACGTGGTTTGTAATAAGAAATTACAGACCACAAAGTAACAACCTGGTAAATGGAGTCCTAGCACGTTCATAATATACTCGGCACAGCAACGGGTATGCACAGGGTGATGTTTCAGACTGCTCTATCCCTTCATCAGTGGACAATTTTGGAGCGCAGCATGACCGATGACTTGATGGATTGCTCTTAAACTAGCAGTGGCATTGAAGTCTTCAAACATTCCCTTGACACACACAATCATGCAAATTTCACTGCTTTGATGAGAATGGTCCACCACCAAAATAATCATCTGGCCAGTGGTAGTCCTGTGGTAATCCCTTTCTATTGATGGATGGGGTACACTTTCAGAGGATAGTTAAAACTAGATGGGATATACTTTGAATTGTCTTTACGTAGTATCCTTATGGGTTCCCCCAGTGGGACAAGACAAAGAACCTGATTAGTTCTAGATTGAAAGGCACACCGAGTAAAATCTAGTGGTCACAAGATAAACTACAAAAGCATTGATTTATTTACTCCTTGACCCCACCTCCAACACCTGCCCATGTATACGAAACCCCATGTCCCAGAGTTCAGAGTTGAACATTAGCTGTCCACCTAACTTTCCATTATCTCATTCAACTTTAGAAAAATATAGTTAGAAAAATCATTGGCTCATGCTCTCTGGGTGGAAGGGACAACTCTCTCTTCTCAGTCAGAGTGATATTAGCCAATCGCTCAGTTAGTGCTATCCCCTTAGTGTGTCCAGCTGTGACATGGTATAAGCAGCAGTTTGAAAAGATGCAACGGCTGGCTTCACATGTCTCAGTGGAAGAACATGCTATCCTTCACCCTGCAAAGTTGACTGTTGTCATCTGATAAGGGAGAGCTACCTAGTGGGTGAGAATTGATCATTGGAAATTTGCAGTTGATTTAGCCCAGATTAAACCTGATAGCTTGTTTATAAGCACTGTTCATCACATTCTATTTGGCCAGTTGTGACAAATAAACACTCGCTTTAAATCTTTTCACATTTTGTGTCATATATTGACACATTTACCAAAATATTGAACGGAGGCAGGGGAATTTGATATAGTTTCCAAAGTTACTTACAAATTCGGAACTTATGATTTCATAAGTATTCATAAGTATGTGGTGAAACAATTCATGACATATCCTCAATTAAGTCCATTTCATTTCCAGGTTGTAACACTACAAAATGTGGCAAAGCCCAAGGGGGTGAATACTTATGCAAGCCACTCTATAGCTAACTTTATTTATTTAGCAGTCTGAGCAGTTAGAACACTTACTTATTTAGCACAACACTATCTAAAGTGCATGTTGTGATAAATTTGACTCTTGTGTAGCTCTCGCCCACCATGACTCAGCATAATGCAACAGTTTATATGTATGCGTGTGTCTTTATCTGCTTATTCACAACAGCCTTGACCTTTGCTGGTGATATTCTACCTCTCGCACTCATTTGCTTTGCTCTTTGTAATAGAAGCAGTAAAACAGATGACTTTTATGACTGTAACAGCTGTAAGTCCATGGTCTTACAGCTTCCGTGTCAATGCCCTTTTAAAACAGTAGTGTTCCTCCACCTGAAATTGCTTTAATTCGTCGAGTACTGAAAGCTTTCTGGTTCATCTTTTCTCTGCTGGCGCCAACCAAATCAAATGAATTTAATGAGTTGTTCTCTCTCTCTCAATCATTCCCAGTCCTCGGCTCTTCCAGAAGCTTTTATATTGCTGCTGTAAAAGACGTCAACTGGCAAGCAGAAAGTGAGCTGATTATTAACTTGTCTTCCTCGGGCCTGATTCATGCTAAAGTGCATAATTGTCTCAACAGTCAAAGGAAGACGTAATATACACACACACACACACATGCGCACAGAGGTTAGGTAAGGAACCACGTGCTCCCAGTGCATTCTAGCTTGTGTAATATACACCAGTAAAAACACACACACACACACACACACACACACACACACACACACACACAGAGTTCTGTCTCTATAGTAATCCCCACAGGACTAATTTACATGTTGCAGCCCATGGGAAAGAGGGAGTAGGGAGAGTTTGCATGAGACACATGATGAGAGGGAGGGAAATAAATAGACAGAGTAGGAAGGCACTCAGTAAACATACAGGGAAACTTGTATTATATTGAGCCGGTGCTGTCATGTGGATAGTGTCAATGAGGATGTGGAGCTGACAGACGCGAGATCTCAGCAGGTCATAGAACAGGTGAGCGATCACACTCTCCGACACATGAGAATGGCCCTGATTATCCCTCTGTGGGAGCAGATGAAAGCAGGGAGGTGGATGTTGCTTGGCGTCTTGGTCTAATCCACTGTGTCAGTTGAACAGTCATTTTTTTGGTATATATTCTTGAACACAGAGATAGGATAGCTGCTAAATCATCCTTTTTTCCACTGAAATACATTTGTTAGTACTGACATCATATGTAACCCTAGTTTATGCTCTTTATGCTGTTAAGTGTGTGACGTAGCGGTCATTTCACACAGGATACATAATTACCACATGAAAATTTCATGATGAAAATCCTAACCAAACATGCTCTACTCTTGGGCGACTTGGGTACAACGAATTAAAAACGTGCTGTTCTTTTTGTCTTGAAAAAAGCAATTAAAAACAAGTCCCAATCATCACCCAAAGGTGACAAGCTTAGAAAAAAGGCTTATGTTCATATTATAGAAGGATTTATAATAAAAAAAAACACTACAAAATTAGTCATTTGAAGTACAAAATACAGGAAATCAATCTTGTGTGTTCTCTTCCTCAGGCTTTCAAACATTAAGTGAACTAACATAAAAGAATACCTTTTAGAACTACTGCTCATTATTTTAATGGATTTTTGAGGTAAAAATTTTCTTTTACAGCAAAAAAATATGATATTGACACCCTTGGTTCTGACACATTAAAGGAATTAAACACATCTGTTTTGACATTCAAAGGCCTTAGGCTAGATATGCTTGGAATACTGAACACTAAAATATAATTCTCGTAATGTTATTTTACTTTTGTGAGTTTTTAATTCATTAATTTATTTATGCAACATTTAGTTCTGCTCCACTTTTGATTGGTCAAGCGGTGTTCTAAGAATGCTAATTTCTTATAACCTCGCTAGGATGTTTTACTGTACGCATCACTCCGCTCGTCTGTGGTTGCCATGTAAAATTCCACTTCCTAGTTCAAAACGGTTACTACGGTAGAGAGAGCGACATCATCAGTGGACAAGGGAAAAGCTCCTTTCCGGAGTATAACTTTTGAAAATATGATGAAAGCTCATCAGATGGAGATGAAGAGGAAGAAAGGATGCTAATTTTACCAGAAGCACATTTAATAGGAATGTACAAATCAATGTGACCTAGCTAGCCAATGTGCTATAAAGTGAGTGTGGCTTCTCTGAGAACTCACAACCTTCCACTTGTTCTTCTTCTTTTGGCTGCTTCTGTTAGGGGTTGCCAAAGCGGATCATTGGTCTGCATATTTGATTTGGCACAGTTCTTACACCAGATGCCCTTCCTGACACAACCCTCCCCAATTTTATCTGGGCTGAGAGTGCACTGTCGCTGGGGCTGGTTCCCTGGCCAGGAATTGAACCCGGCCCTCAGTGGTGCGAGCGCCGTGGCCTAACCACTAGTCCTCCAGGGACCCTGGGATCTATTTCTACTAACAGAGCAAAAATACACAGAACATTTGGCCATTCTATGTTCGAAATGTCACTTACTTGATATTAATTTCTTGTTTATAGAATTGAACAAGACCAATATCGGACTCACAATTATGCCGTTATACTGAATATTGGCACGGTTGTGATTACCTAAGTGATTCAGCCTGCGGGCTCATGTCTACAGGCTGAATCACAGCCGTGCCAATATTCATTATAACCGCACTCTTGTTCATGCGATATTGCTTAATTATACCACAGCTCCGATGAATACTTAGTCAGTCGTTGATTCATTTCTATAGCATTTTAACATGTTATTTTCAGGACTTTCTTGTTTCTACACTTTTTCTTTTCCTCATTAACTGAGGAAAAGAGAGACTAGTGAAGAAATGACTGCTTATAGCTGTTATAACAAATGAGATAATGTCATGGTTACTACGAATCCCATCAGCCACTGCACCTCTCAGGATCACGTCACATGACTGTTTGCACCTGATTCACGTTTTGGTTTAAAGAGCACTTATATTTAAGTCACGTCTTGCACAGCACTTATTATCTAGCTTTTGTCTTTTGTTGTCACGTTGCACTCTCTAGTCCATATATGTCTTTTACCTTGAAATCATAGCTTATGTTTTGGTATCTAAGTTTATGTTGTCCGTACCATTTGTATTTCATTAAAATATAAATCTGTACTTGCATCTGCCTCCGCTACAAAATGCTGACAGATAACAGGAACCAATTTATTTTGTGGATGGTCCAAAACATTAACATTAAACGTAACTATAAATGGATTAAAAAGTATAACGCATCGTGTTTTTAATGAATAAAAAAAATTGTAATCGTTGGCAAATTAGGAAAAAAACACTTGCTGTTATAAGAGCTTCAAATTAACACAACACCCTGTCGTTGATTGTTTTCTTATAACAGCATGCCTCTATTGTGTATTATTCCTTATTTGAATCAATTCTAATTCTAGGTGAAAGATAATCCAGTCAAAGTGTAGATCTGAGCAGTCAGTCGTTAAAATTCTTCCTAAATGATGCAACACACAAACAGTGACAAAGCACCCTGGTATTTGAATGCAACTTTTCTGTCCCTAGGATAAAACCTTAACCGCTGACCTCCCACTTGGATTTAGTTTTAGAATAGTAGGTTATTAACGAAAATGGACCATTTTACTGTTGGATTGGTTCTGCTCTTGGGTGTCACACTAAGAGTTGATTCGCCTCTCTCAAGGACCCTGAGTTCAACCTAATGATGAGATGACATTGAGGTTCATCAGAAAGCGACAGAGCAGATCGCCGATTAACTGCAAGTTGAGGGTCAAGACCTTGAAATGACACACGAGCACAAATTTCACCCAGCATGTTTGTGATTTTACAGTGTGTGCTCTCAGTGCTTCCTATACACACTTTGCATTTATGGAATTGTACTCTCGGGACGCACTTGTACAGACGTCAGCTCAGTTAACAGCTAGACGCTTGGATGTGATTACGCCACACTTTTAAATCGCTTCAGATAAAAGCATATTCCAAATGAAAATGTTCATGTAAATATACAAAAAAAAGCTTTTGTTACAGGTGTTGGAATCGAATATATAAAGCACCTGTTGGGAAAGTGTGAGACAGGCGAGTGTGAGATGTTCACACATATCAGCACAGGTTTATACTTGAATAGGTGAGCATGTGGGTAAGTGAAGGAAATAATTAAATGGATACATAAACAGGCATTATTGCATTTTAAAATTAAACTATATATTATACAAGAATATTATTATCATTATATTATTCAGAGGGAAGATGTGCCTTGGGTATGATGTCTTCCCAAATGATGGCGCCAAACCTAATTTCACAATGTTTACTGAGTTATTGTACTCTAGTTAATTGTAAATTTTTATCTTGTTTTACCAATTGTGTTACCTAGGATGGTTTATATCTAAAATAATTTAGTTTGTTCTCCTCGGATAATTGTATTTAGTTGTATTTATTTTTTTGTTAAGTTGCATAGGATTTTCTAGAGAGGAATTCATTCGGTTTTACGAAAAAGGAACAATTGTTCTTTAACTTTATGTTCCATTGGGAAAGATGACTTCCCATAACAGTTTTTTTTAGATTAGGCAATATTATATAGTTCATGCTATCTTAGATCAAAGTTCAGTAGATTTTTCGAGAACTAGCCATTTTATTCCCCCATCTTCCTCAATATATGCAAGTTACAAACCAATATAAATAAAATAATTAAACCCTGCTGCCATATTGTGTATGTGTTTGATAAAGGCATGAAAGTGTGAACTCTGATCTTACTCATGCCATACTGTTGCCGTAATGATTTAATGATTTACTCACTGTGCTTATATAGAGGCCATAAGTAGCACACGTTGATGAGGCATACAGAGATTGTCCTGGATTACTGTCTCAGTAGAAAGAGTTTTACAGATTTTTCAGGTCGTAGTGATATTGTGAACATCGGCATGGCATTCAGGGTTGGATTTGCACCTGATTTGTATACCAGGTGATAAGCCAACATTGCTAGCATTTCACAAAAACACCTCATTCTTTGTGTCTATGGGACTGATGGTTGGTGTGCATTTTTTTATGTGTCACTGTGTCATGAATTAGAATCAGACGTGTCCATATACTTTTCCTGCGTAGCGCAGTTCAGCGGACGCTCTAGCAGGTAGGACTACAGCTGTCTGTTAAAATAAAATCACCATGAGTGTGTATACAGTTAAAAAAACATTTGGAATAAAAGAAAAGCATTCAACCTATTGTTTTTGGGGATTGTGAGCAAAACTAGTTGCGCTCTCTAGGTTGGAAGGATGACACATACACACACATGCTCTCTCCCCCAGTCAATCAGAGTGATGATAACCAATGATGGGCATCTGTGAACTCATGTATGTGGAAGAGGGTAGATAGCACTTTCCTCTCAGTGTGTTCAGCCTCACTGTGGCAGTGGCTGTCTTCATGTTTCTTGGAGGAAGACAAGTAAGTCTCCACAGTAAGTGGCTGTGGTGTGATAAGGGATAGTAAGCTAGAAGGTTCGGGATTGACCAAAATGACCAAATTGGAAGAAAATGGATTTTTAAAAAAAAAACAACTCTGGAATCACCTGATTTAATTACTCACAAAATGCCCAAACTAATAACACATAAGCAATCTTTAGGTCTTTATTGAACACACTGATTAATAATTCACAGTCCTGGCTGGGAAAATTATACAAAAAATATGAACCCTTTTATTAAATAATTGGTAGAACTGGAAGCAGCAACGTAGCTATAGTATAGCTAGTATGGGCAGTGGTAGCTCAGTGGTTATTCTGTTGGACCTCTGACTGGAAGGTTGTGAGTTCATATCCCAGCACCACCAAGCTGCCACAGTTGAGATCTTGAGCAAGGCCCTTAACCCAACAACTGCTCAAATCTATAAATGAGGTGACTGTAAATTGCCCTGGATAAGGGTGTTTGCAAAATATCATAAATGTAGCTGCAATATAACAATAGGTAATAAGACTTGCACAGTGAGGAGGAAATTTAGGCCAGGGGTCATCAATGATCCAGATACAGACTGGCCATCTAATTTCCTAAACATGAACAAGCTTGTCTTCTGTAGCAGATACTCTGTTGTGGTTTATCCATTCACGTGCATTTATGTAAATTATTTAGCTGAAGGCAGCTCACGAGACCATAGGCTATAGACATTTGTCAGAAAAGGGAGTTTCATAGATTTTTCATTTTAATTACCATTGACATGGCTTGTTTAAAAAAGTCGACAGTGCAAACAGGTAAATACGTAAAGATGACTGGATGGAGAAGTATGCGTTTATTGTATCTGCATCAAATTCAAACAGATGTCTCATACGTTCAGAGTCTATGGCTCTAGTTAAAAAGTGGCAATGTGAATCGCCACTACGAAACACAACAACCACTGTAAACTGTCTAATTTTCAGCCATAAACTAATAATTAATAGATAATCATTAAAGGGAACTGTCAGCATTCAGTTATGTTAGTTACCTGGACATGTTTAAGTAAGGAATTTTTCATAACCTTTACAAATTTTCCTTGACTACAACACTAATTCAGTTCAGTTAAACTAAATGTTTCTGGGACGTCTTGGTTGAACAAGTGTTTTGAGTCATTATCAAGTTGTGTCCCCAACATGACTCACATGAAAACTGCAGTTCACCATAAAGTATGTGAGTAAACTAGCTAGATCAACAAACCAGTCACTGAATGTGAAATATGATTATGAATTTTGCGATCATATATTTGGAAATTACTGTTCGTTTTTCTGCAAAAATTCCATTTTCTTTTGAAATCTACTGTAAATTGGAAATCATGCATGTATTAGTCTGTTAAACATTTTTTATCTATATATTTTATGTGTATTTTAATTCAGAGCATAACTGAAAAGAAAATCTCTTGACACCTCTAGAAGGTTTCTTTCTGTGTGTTCACTGTGGGTGTTCATGTACATGTAAAATCATTATAATTTAATAATTAGGAGATAAAATGATTATATTAGTCTGCATTAACAGCAGTGACATTTTGACTGTTTGTGTGTGTGTGTGAAGATGTCAGTTCTAATAATTTAGATTGTTATTACTGACATTTAGTTGTTTTTTTTTTGTTGTTTTTTTTTTCTTTTACTTCAGTCCTGTCGTGCATCATTTTACTGACAGACAGAATGTAGCTCAGCTGATGGATATTCTGGGCTCTCATGCACTTTACCCTCAGATGATATGTTTCCAATTTTTCACTATATGGAAATGTCACAGAACATCTGATACACTTCAGCTGCACTCTGGCCTTTCCTCACACACATTAATCTCTGTATTCCTACTTTAAATACTTCCTATAATATATAGGTATATATGTGTGTGTGTGTGTGCCTGCATGTGAAAGCACTGCTATTGAATTGTGGAATTAGAGCTGTGCTCCTGTTTGAGCTGGCGATAGCAGAGTATGACTTATAAATAGGAAAT